GTCGAACGTGGGTAAGATGGAGACAATAGAAAAATGTTACGTATGAGTGAAAAAAAATACTTGGAATTAATAAAATCGTAGGATAATTGTTGAAAAATAAAATAAAATATGAATAGTGGTTTCTAAAATATACAATCCAACACTTATAATATTATTAACCTAAATATTTAGATAAAATTCTTTTGAAATTTTAATTTAAATTTTTTCAGAAAAATGTATTTCTATTGAGATAAATAATATTAAAGCTATTTAAGAAACATTGTAAGGTTGAATATTAAATGTACGTAGGTACTTTATAAATTACTTATTACATACCTACCTATGACGCTAAAGAATTATTAATACATTTTATTTTTATAATTAAATCAGTAGAATAATTTTTATAGTACCTACCATAAGTAACATATTAGTTCAGTATTATTATTTTTGAATGTTTATGGTGCAGACTGTAGTTGATTGATCTGAATAAATTTGTTGGATGCCGGAATGCTAGCTCAGTATGAATAATATGTAATGACAATCAGCACAATAATTCATTATCATTTTAAAGTCATGAAATGTAGATAAATATATTTAGGCCAAATTGAATAATGTTGATTGTACATTTTGTACCTCTGATTCATTCTGTCAATGTTTAATTGAATTTTTGAAGTTACTTGATTAAATTTAAAGCAACTTATTATAAAAATACATGTTGATTGTACACGAAATAAAAAAAAAAAATACTACTAATAAATATATGAAGTTAAATTAAGGGCCACTAACAAATATTTTTTTTTATTAGGTGATCTTCCAAGTAAGTTTAAATGAAATAAATACCGCTAATATACGCATATCGATTTTGGTTTTGGGGGTAAATCTAAAACAAATGACAGAAGACACATGAACTGATGAATGCAATGAATGTATTGGTTTTACAATAATGTGTTTTTTCTTCTTAAACCAACTATTACAAAATATATTCATAGGTTATACGATTAGTACAGTAGATGGATATTATTTACTTGATTTATATTTTATATACAATATGGCGTAGTACTTAAGTATAAGGTCTATGATTTGTACTCACGTGGTTCATGGAAAAAAAAGAGTTACCTACCCACTTATTAGTTATCCAGTATTCTAGTATCCATCTCAGTTTCATTTTTATCGCTGGGCAACGCCGAGTAATAAGCAGCTAGTTAGTAAAAATATTTAGGTTAGTTATTATAATACACCTAAGTCTTGTTTATAGTTTATGGTTTATTGGGATGTTTTTGTACAATACTTATTATTAAAATTATGTAAAAATGTAAAATACAACAGTATTAATAAACAATTAATTATTTAATAAAAAAAAAATTATTATCTTTAGATACTGAAGACACGAGTTTTAAAAAGAGTAAGTTTGTTAAATAATTGGATGCAACTAGTTACCTAGGTAGGTAATTCTTTAGGAATAAAAAAAAAAGTAAAATATATAAATTAAATGTATAAAACAAAATTTTAAAACTTTAGAAGTAATATTTTGTCTTAAACCTTTTCATTTATTTTGAAAATTAATAAATGATTTATCGATTAGTTATAAGCATTAAGCATATTATGTTTCAAACTTTGATACACTATAATTTTTTTATGTAGTATAAGACAATGTCGTGTATTACGTACCAATGTAAATGTTTATTATTTTTTTATTTTTTTTTTAGTATTTATTGATGGTATTCTTAAAAATGAAACGGACAGTTAGTATCCAAAAAATAATTTAAACCAATTTAAACCAAATTTGACAAATTGGTTATTGTTATACCTACCATTTTAGATTCTGAGTGAAACGATGAATGTATTGATTTTACAATGATGTGTGTTTTTTTTTTTATTTTTTTTTTATTTATTTTTTTTTTTATTTTTTTTATTTTTTTTGTGTCTGTGTACACGATAAGTAGTCGAAATAATGCTTCGATTTTCGACTTCAGTATCTTGTTCGATTGGAAAGTGAATATCGTTGGTGCATTGGGGAGATCAAAATTTAAATTTCCCAGTAGTTTTCAAGAGCGCCGGGAAAAACAAAAGAAAAATTAAGGAAAAACGGGAATTTTTACGCAAAATCGATTTTTCAGAAAATTGAATTTGGTTTTTGGTGTAACTTTAAAACAAATGACCGTAGACCCTTGAAATTTTCACTGGTTGTTTATATTTGCATCTTCTATACACGATAACATTTTCAAAATATTTTGATTTATTTTGAACAGTTTAGGGACATTTTCATTTTTAGTTTTTTTTTAGTTTTTTTTCTAGAAATATCAATAAAATGTTATTTGTTCATTGCGAAAGCTTGAAAATTTAATAGAAGACTCCTAATATATTGTTTCAAAGGCAGATGAAAAATATTAAAAATCCTTAGTCACAATTTTTTTTTATAAGCATTTAAAGTTCAAAAATTGACAAAATATGGAATAATCACGAAAATTAGCAAATTATTTTGAGTTAACAATTCGTAAAAATTTTTCTTTTTAAATCTAAGATTTTAAAATCTAATACGAGATTACTCATAAGATTGTCTACCTTTATCAATAAAAAAATCTCTACCGGAAAGTCAAATTAAATTTTTATGAGCGTTTGAAATTCAAATTATTACAACATTGGATATTCACTCGATTTTTCATGTGGCAATTTCCTTTTTTTGTTGTAATTAAAAAACGAATTACTGTAGATACATGAAAATTTCACTGAATGTTTATATTAGCATTTCCTATACACCATACAATTTTGAAAATATTTTGACTCTTTTTGAGCCGTTTACGGACATTTTCAGTTTTCAAATTTTTTAGTTTTTTTTTTCTATAAATATCAATTAAGTTTTATCTGTTGGGCCAAAAAGTGTAAAAATTTAATACAAGGCTCCTGATATATTGTTACAATATCAGTTGAAAAATATTAAAAATACATAGGCACAATTTTTTTTTATAAGCATTTTAACATCGAATTTTGACAGAATTTTTCAAAATCTCGAAAATTATTAATCATCGTAATTAATAAATTCTAAAATGTTCAGTTTTTATAGCTAAGGATTGAAAATTTAAAACAAGATTCCACGTAAGTAGTTAATTCTCTTACCGAAAAATCTAAAAAATATACAATCACAGTTTATTTTTATAGTCATTTTATGTTCAAATTTGGACGAAATTACATATTAAAAAACCTAGTTATTTTGTTGTGATTATATAATATTATTCGTGGGTACCTACTTGAAACTTCTAAAGTGTACTATTATATATATATGATAGTATCAGGGTTTGTTGTTGGTGTATAACGTGTTATAGGTACCTAATGGATATTGTGATAATGTGATATGATTAATTTGGAATTTATTATAGGTCAATTTTTTTTTAATACCATAGATATGTATATAATTTGTCTTAACCTAGACTGACATACCGTCTTCGCTCAGAATCGTTTTTCTTATACAATGATATTGTATCATTGAATTCAAATTTAATAGCATCAATTATATAGTGACCCACTTCTAACCTACTGTACAGCAGAGCGACATCCACTTACCCACCTTTTTAGGTATATAACTACTTTGTATCATCTAAAAGAACGAAAATGTTAAACCGGGTCCCATCCACCAAATTTAATGCAGTAAATTGAGTTTCAGTGATATATAATCACTTGACAGACAGAATGATAGATAGATCATTGAATAATGTATACATTAAATTCTCTAGTTTATTTACATTATACAAGAGATACCATGATAGGTAAATAATGTATACGGAAAACGGTTCTGAGTAAAAATTATGTGTCAGCCTCTATTCGTGAAATGAATGTCCATAATAATAAATTTATATAAACAATTTTTGGTTTTTTCTTTACTGACAATATTAAGGTTATTCACAGTTTCTACTATAATAGTTACCCCATTCTTCACAATCCATTGCAACATCAAGTTTCTCTGATCTGTCTATCATCATTCTTATATTTTCACATTTACAACAAAATTAGTTACATAAATCGTTACTCTTCGATTAAATCTCTAATTTCGTTCAAATTTGACCTTTAATGTCTGAAAAAACTGTGTTTAAATTTTTTTAGATTTTTTTGTTACAGTATGAACTATTTATGAGAATCTTTGTTTTACATTTTCAATTCTTAGCTATACGAATTTAACGTTATATAACGAATATAATATGACTTATAAGTTATATTGTAGTTGTAAGTTGACTAATTATTTACAACCAATGGATACAAGTATTAAAAAAATACTAATATCATTGATAATTAAAAGTATCACGAACTTATAAATGTAATATTAAAATTATTAATGCTCTAATATGCCCTAATTTATATTTTTTTAGAATGTATAGGTAAGTAAGTTTTATGTCACTTTCAATAATAAATATATTTTTATAACATTTTTTCCTATAACCATTCATTAATCATACCATCACCTGTGTTAATTAATTATTACATTGTTTATTATATCTTTGAGTGTTATTATAGTGTTAAAATAATAGTTTTCATTGAGCCATATGAATGCATGGGCTGACATTTTCCTAACATAATAACAAGATAAAAACATACTATACAATTAAATAAGAAGTCTCCCAGAGTTTAACATTCGAGCTTAAAGAATGAACACTTACATTAGACAAAGTATTAAAAACTAATTTTCTATACACTTGAAAATGGCTTTATGAATATTTTGAGAATACTTACAGATTACTAAATTCTTAATTTATAATATTAGCTATGATTAGGTTATCAGTTCATCACATTAAAATCTCAATATCTTATATTATGTTTTTCTAGTCCTAAATTATGTAATGTTTATTTTATAACAGAAAACTTAAACTTATTCAGAGAAGGTAATAATAATAATAATAGTATCCACATTTAAATAATTTATTTTTTTAACAAACCATATTACGTCAGAAATAAAAATATATTTGTGTATTAATTTTCTTACCTCAGCACATTATAAATGTAAATATTTTGTTAATATTGTGTTAATTATTTAGGATATTCTCGTGATCCTGGCCATAAAACTAAATGTATTTTGATGAACGCATTTGAAAATTTAAGTATGTTTAATGTTACACTAAATTATATATTTATAAATAAACATAATTTTAGATTCTTAGCGGAGCTGAAATGTATTGATTTTACAATTTGATTTTTTTTTTTTGTCATTTATTTATTAATTTTTATTTTAATCGTATCTATATAAACCTTTTAAATCTAAAAAAGGTGGGCAATGAAATGACTATAAAAATAAACTGTGGTTATTTATTTTTAGTTTTTTAGTAACAGATTTAACTACATACGTGGAATCTTGTTTTAAATGTTCAATCCATAAACATAGATATTAAAGAATGGATAGGCCATTTGTCGTTATCACATACTCGACTACATCATTAACATTCTACTACGACCACAGTAAATTGTTGAACTACGACAAAGTCGGATTGTTCATCATTCATATAGGTAGATGGTAGTCGAGTTTCACTTATAGGCTATAGCCATTTAATGTCTGTAATACCTGCCCACCTGATTTTCTGTAGCACATATAGGTGAACAACTTCAAAGTTAATCGATTTTCATTTCAGAATTCAGGTTACTGACTTGCTAGACACTCCAACACGGTTTTCGGCTTTACATTTTCTACATTTACACATACGAAAAAGCACCGGAAATTCGTTGGGGAATCGTATCATTGTATTGCCGACATTCATGGACCATGGGAGATTTCTAGACACTAAAACTCTACTCTTAAACTTTCCCGCCTTCGAAACGAGACCACCAAACAACCAGGCCTTATCACAAATTCCTATCACCAAATCACCTCCGAATACCAACCTATCACCTTCATTATAAGACATAAGTGCGACTTTAATAATTCGACTGTGTCTCCAAAATGGGTACTCACTTACAAGGGCTATTTTTTTCACGTTATTTTTCATATAAATTAAATTATAATATACACTATACAGGAACATATCGTACATTATTATTACCTATATTTAAAGTCATTGTCATATTATATCACATAATAAATAGGTACATGTTATATTTGTTTTATTAGAAATTATTATAATTGCATATTTTTCAAAATGTCCATGATTGTTATATAAATAAAGTTTGTATTTTATTTTGGATTGCCTACCTAGGTGGCTAACTTGAAAGTTAATCGACTTTGACTTGAGATGACTGACAACACGGTTTTCGACTTTACACTTTTTACATAGATAAAGCACCGGTCATGCTACGGCACATACCACTCTATGTGCAGGTATACTCTATATAGGTGATCCTGGAGATCGTATCCAGCTTATCCATTTACAAAGTTTGTGACGGATTGCTAGACGCTCAAACTTTTAACATTCCCGCCAAAGCTTCTAGCCTTATCTCTAATCCATATCACTAATCCTTATCACAAATCCTAAACTTACGTCTTACAAGCTTTGCGACTTTTATAATTCCAACGACATTGTCTCCAAAATCGGTACCCACTCTCAGTGAGTCCAACCAGCTCCGAGTTAGTTACACTTAGAGCTAGTCCTTAGATATAAAAGTTGAACATTTAATACATTTTTAACTACAAAATAATTATTCAATTTTAAATTTGATAAATTTTGTCAATACTCGATCTTTAAATGCTTTTAAAAAAAAATTGTGCCAATGTATTTTTAATATTTTTCAACGATTACTGTAACAATATATCAGGAGCCTTGTATTAAATTTTACACTTTTTAGCCCAACAAATAAAATTTTATTGATATTCATAGAAAAAAAAAATAAAAAATTTTAAGTATGAAATTGCCCGTAAACAGCTCAAAACAAGTCAAAATATGTTGAACATTTTTTCAAGTATAAGAATTGATAAAATAAACATTCAGTGAACTTTTCATGTATCTACAGTTATTCGTTTTTGAATTAGAACAAAATAAGAAAATCACTACATCAGAAATCGAGTGAATATCGAATGTTGAAAAAATGTAAAAATTTGAATTTTAAACGCTCATAAAAATTTAATTTGATAGACATTTTTTTTTGATAAAAGTAGATAATCTTATAATGAATCTTATGTTACATTTTAAAATTTTAGATTTAAAAAGAAAAATGTTTACGGTTTCTTAACTCAAAATAATTTGCTAATTTTCGTGATTTTTCCATATTTTGTCAATTTTTGAACTTAAAATTATTATAAAAAGAAACTGTGATAAGGATTCTTAATATTTTTTAAATGTCATTGTAACAATACAGTAGGAGCCTTGTATTAAATTTTCAAGTATTTTTACTCAACAAATAAAGTTTTATTGACATTCATAGAAAAAAAAAACTAATAAAATGGGAAACTGAAAATGTCCCTAAACAGTTCAAAACATTTTGAAAATTTTATCATATATAGAAAATGGAAATATAAACAACCAGTGTAAATTTCATGTATCTACGGCCATTTGTTTTAAAGTTACACCAAAAACCAAAGTCGATTTCGAGTAAAAATTCCCGTTTTTCCTTAATTTTTCTTTTGTTTTTCTTGGCACTTTTGAAAATTACTGGGAATTTTAAATTTTCACCTCCCCAATGCACCAAAAATATTCACTTTCCCATCGAACAAGATACTGAAGTATTATTTCGACTACTTATCGTGTACACAGACACAAAATAAAAAATAATTAGGTTTTTTTTAGGTATATTATGTTCAAATTTGGACGAAATAAGATATTCAAAAGAAGAAGAATGATTTTAGTTTTCAGTTTTATTTTTAAAATATTATTTGTAGGTATTTGAAACTTCTAAAGTATACTATTGAATACAAAATGATAATAAACAAAATAGGTAATAATAATTCAACTTAACCGGCTAGTGTATTAATAAAAACATTTTAATTTTAAAATTGTATTATAAAATATCCTAGGCTGTCAAACCGTCTCCACTCAAAATCGTTTTTCGTATACAATGATATTATATCATTGAATTCAAATTTAATACGATCCATTACAGTCGTCAGTCACCCACTTGTAACCTAGTATGTACATATCTGTACAGCACTTATCCGCTTTTTTTTTAATTTAAAACATTATAACTACTTTCAACTACTACAACTCTCAACTAAGTACAAGGTAATGGTCGGGTCAACTAATCAAAAAATAGGAGTCTTGTATTAAATTTTCAAGCTAGTTGACCAAATGAATATAATTTTAATGACTTTTATACAAAAAAAAAAACCTAAAAAAGTTGCAAAATGGAAATGTCCGTAAACAGCTCAAAACAACTCAAAATATTTTTAAAATTTTATAGTGTATAGAAAATGCTAATACAAACCTTCAGTGAAAATTGCATGTATCTACAGTCAGTTGTTGTAGAGTTACGCCAAAAATCAAAATCTATTTTGTCAAAAACCGATTTACGTAAAGACTGCCCTAAACGGTGATGACAGACACAAAAAAAAATTTATAAATAAATAAAAAAAATGCACATCTTCGTAAAATCAATGAATTCATCTCTCAGAATCTAAAATGTGTATGGTTGGTGATTATCTATTAACTATTTTTGGAATTATCGATAGGCATATCATGTATTATTTCTGCTATATTTATGTAGTGTTACAACAAGTCACGAAGAATATAGGTCTTTATTATTCATGGTTCGAACTAAAAATGTTAATTACATTTGTATTGTTTTTAAATATTATTCTAGAATTGATAAATATGAAAAATACAGGTAAATAAGTAAAACTAACTTACTATTAAAAAATACATAGGCCATACAATTATCAATTAGTAGATACAGAAGATGGATATTATTTACCTACTTGATTTATATACAATATAGCATAAAGACTTTATTATGAAATGGCCAAGTGGCCACTAGTCCACTTCTTTTGACGATACTACAATCGCACTCATGCGGTTTAACAAAGATTCATTTGAATTTTCTTCTTTTATTTGAATTACATCTAATATTCTAATAGCGGCCTTTACTCTTTAGACTTTAACCTTTAACCTATAATAGAATTTCAGTTTTGTACATATTTGAGTATTACGTATAATAATAACACATTAACACCTATATATTGTTATGAACATAATTAATTTATAACTGTAATATTATCATATTCAATATATTATTAAATGGAGGTCCTCAGGTCTTATAAAACATTACGACCCCGATATACTCGTACCTACTAGTATAATATAGTTTTCGTATACATATGGGCGAATGGGTGTTACAATTATTGTATCATACAAACTAAGTTTAGGTTTATTTACATAATATAATATTATAACATAGGCAATACTGTAATAGTGTAATACATTCAAATATATGAAATTAAATAACACGATTTTCATTGTGTCAAAAATTAAAATAATTTTATTTGATGTTTTAATTTTTAAAGATCAAATAGACTATTTTATAGATAACATCTTTAAACGATTTCACATAAGTACGTCAGAAATAATATGCTATTATATTTAACTAATAAGTAGTAATAAGTAATAATAAATATATAGGTACGCCTTAGTATATGTATTATACTTAAATTTAAAAAAAAATGTAATTGGAAATATTTTATTAGTTGTTTATACTTAAGATTATGAGTGGAGCGATGTGAGAGCGATTGATTGTCCGATCTTCTGTGTGTTTTATTTATTTTAATTATATGTTATATCTTCAAAAAATATTAGCAGTGCTTTATTACACTAAACTTATTCTTTTAATTCTTATAAAGAAAAATTATGAGAAATCATATGTTTAGAAAATGCTAATACAAACTATTTATGAACATTTCAAGTATCTTCGGATATTTTTTTTATATAACAACAAATAACAAATTTGATGTTTTCAAAAAATTGTTTTGCGTAAATATTCCAGTTTTTTGTTTCTTGCACTTATATTGTAAAGTACTGTGGAACTTAAGCCCCCAAAAAACAAACTACTAAAGATCCAATTTACGAACAAGTTGACGATCGCTCCAGTGCTCCACTCAGAATCTAAAATTAAAACTATTTTTTTTTTTAAATTTTAGAGGCTGGTGTGTCAAATCCAAAAAAATTTTGCTTGACACACAAACATTATGGGAAGTCCAACGTTCCCGTGGATACTATCAATACTAGCGATAAGCAGGATACTACCTCTCCAGGGTTGGAGTTAGAACCAAATTCAACCTAGGAGATAGAAATTCATCAAGACCCCCAAGCACCAACCATTTACCAATTAAATCACCAACAATTTTTTCTTGCTACACTCGAATTACATTTTTTCAATTATTTTTAGAACATATAAAATTACACAAAACTAATATATTTTATTTTGTTTATAATAAAATAAGTACTTTCAGTAATATAAAAGTGTTTTAATCTTTTTTGTTTAACTTACAAGTTCAATGTATTAATTTACCATTAATATTAAGGGGCCCGGTGCCAGTTTTTAAAACTGTCCGCAATTCTATACAATTTGGAAATAAATTTTATATTTTAATTGCCACCTTAATTATAATACCTTTCTATTAATCTACTATATCTGATACCTATTTAGGGGGGGGGGCTGATAGGGTGTATTATATCGAAAAAAATTACTTCACGGGAATAATTCCCATGCCCTGTAGATTGTAGAATTGCCAGTTTTGAAAAATATTTTTTTATCTGAAAGGAGAAGACTATTCCTACAGGCAGCATCATAGTATAGTATAATTTATAAAAAAACGCTTAAAATTGTATTATTTTTGAAGACATATTATAAAGTTTGATATTAAAATATTAAAAAACAGAGTTCGATGCGGTCTGTTTAATATTACCCTCCATTAGTTAAAAAACATATTATAAAATTGGTTGATTCTACAGAACAGGATCATCGTTCCCGTAGTGCTTATTTTTGTGTACAAAAATACATTGGCACTCTCTAATTTAATAGTTGATATAAACGAAATATTAATACACCAATTAATAATTATATATTTATAAATTGTGTTTTAATGGTTTAGGTACAGTATAGGTAATAAGTTTCAAATGTGCTTTTAATAAACAATATGATACAATATTAAAAATTGTATAATAAAATATAGATTACTTGTAAAAAAGATTTATATTTAAGTAATAATAATTTAGATAATAATTTAGATTTCTCACCAACTGCATTTATAATAATATTTTTAACTAATTCCATGAGTCTTTTATTTTTGATAGTCATAAGCATCAAAGATTAAACATTGTTATTGGTCATTGCATTTCTTAGTCTGTTTGTCAAATATTTCAATAAGTACTGAAAATAAGTAGGTAATAAAATAGATAATTTATATAAAGAATGTATCAACAGGGAGGGTTAAAATGTAGATATGTAATGAGCAAGAAAATTAATAACTTAAAAAATAATTAATAAAACAATAATTCAAAAAACTATACTGAAGATAATATAACAGGAAAACAATTTTCGTATAGCAGTACACCTACACGTTCACGTGGATAAGCGACACCGTCGACTCAACTCAACTCAACTCAAGTACACAAACACAATTAATAGCCTATAGCAATATAATTTTAGTCCTCAATGGCTTAACCACATTACATTTGCATGCAAAGAATTTTTATTACAGATAGTATTTATATAAATAAAAATGACCAAATAACACAATATTATGTCTTATTAGACATTAGTTATTATTCAATTAGCCGATTAGGTCTTGGTATATTCTTCGCCGCTCTACAGATTTACAACTTTCGACAGGCATGTCAATGTATTTGTCTAACCCCGAATAGCTACTCGGAAACCCCAGACAAGACATTCAAAAGAGTCGTCTATATTTTATCTGACATTGCCAGGCAAGGCACTCGTGGATGAGTTGCCTAGTTAATCGTCGATCCACGGCAGAACTTCCGGCAAGCAGACAACTACAGATTTCCAAGTAAATTTAATATCATCTTGTTATATATTTTATCAGCAACCGTGTCTTCGATACAGCGCCTCTCCTTCCACCGGCAATCGTATTTCGGACTAAAGTACAATACTGGCACTTCACCGCACACATTTAAGAATTTAACCGTACCTCCGATACAATAACGGCGCTGTCACTATTGTTGTAGCAAACTACTGTAGCATTGTATCCCTAAGTATAGTGACCTGTATTTGTATTACTACTCTTTTCTTTCAAATAAATAAATAATTTGTACATTTTTTTTTTATAAGCTTAAAAGCTATGGATGTCTATTTACGAATATTACCTGTGTTATTCTTTTACAAACACGTCATTATAAATATTTTGAATTAAATAAAAATACTACTTTTAAATTAGAATCAATATTTTTATATTTTATTTTTACTATAATAAAACAATAATCGTGCATTTATTTAGCACATTGAGTAATTAGAATATAATGTACTAATAATTACTGACTAACAAATTTTTTAACAATATAATCGGCTGAGTGCGTAATTCATAATAAGTTCATAAGTACCAATTACGGGGTGCCGCCACTGGGTGACTTCCCCCTCCCGGTAATCATCCCCATCCCATTTACTTATTGTAATACATGTAATTATAGATTGTAAATAAAATTTTTTTTGTTCAATAAAAAAAAAAAAAAAAAAAAGTACCAATAATCATTTTGAAATTGATTGAAAACATAACCAAATGCCATTTTTTGATGCCAACACCGGTAATCCAGATTTAAATTTAAGCGGAACTTCGGTTTTTTCGCCCGGCAAAACTCTAAACGTTGTCAATATTTGTGAGAGAACCATTTTCATTTCCAATTCGGCAAATCGTTTTCCTATTAATGACGTAAATGTAAGTACGTGTAATAGTAATCATAACATATTTGAAACTTTGACCACAACTACTGCAGCTTACGTTCATTGTATTACTAAATATTATATACCACCTACCTATACAAAACCGTGGTCCGTCGCCAAACGGTAAGTAGGTACTAGACGTCCGTTTAGCTTTTTCTTCCGGTGAAAACCTTTGCGGGTCAAATTTATACGGATCGGGGTAATATTCTGAATCGATGATGATGGTGATGAATACTGTACAAGGGTATCATGATCCTAGTGCCCTTTTCAATGACCAAAGACTCGCCGGGCACTTGGTATGTTTTCACAGTTTCTCTGAATAACGCGTTGGCTACTCCGTACATACGCCCCGTTTCTGAAATATACGTAATCGACAGTTTGAAAATATTATGTATATTTCACTGTGAATACACAGACTTCAGAAGTGTATGCGATTCCAAAAGCAGTACCTAAGTTACGTTTACAGCAAACTCGTCAGTGGCGGATCCAGGGCTTAATTTGTGGGGGGGAGTACAAAAACTAAAAAATTGGTTACAAAATTGGTTAAACACAGTGTAAAATAAAGGGAAACTACGGTGATTGGGAGGGGGGAAATGCCCCTTTGCCCTCCTTCTGGATCAGCCCCTGGAACTCGTTGACGGTCGACCGTCGTTGACACTAAACATATTGTATACTTACCAACGTCGGACGTCCAACACGATAAATTATTATATTATATTATCGACCGGTAACTATATTACATTTAATATAATCGTAAATCGTAATATTCACCTGCCAATACCATGTCAGTGTAATGAAGATCCACCAGAAAATCATTGTTCATTTGCCCATGTTCTTTCAACTTTGAATTCATCTCATCGCGCATTTCTTCCTGGATGTTTTGGTTTAGAGCTAACTGATACAAACAAAAACTCAACGTGGAGGACACGGGTTCAAAACCGGCGAAAAACATCAAGATCGCATTTGCAACAATGTCCTGTTCGGTAAATCCATCTGAAAATATATAATATCCATATATAGATCAAAACACCGTGCCTTTTATAATAAGTGGGAACACGTCAAACTCATTTAATATGGAAGGTATATATTATCCGACCAGAAATGTTGAATCTTTTTTTAACTATAGACTTTATACATTATTTAAATTTTATAGATATTTGAAATTTTCAATTATTTTAGTTTATAAACATCGACAAAAATATTCTCGCTTGGTCAAAAAGCTTGACAATTTAATAAAAGCAATTTAAAAATATTAAAGATAAAAAGGCATTCATTTTTTTTAAGCTTTCCAAGTAGATATTTTATGCACACATTTCAAATGCAATGTTTTCTGAGAATTCAAGTTTTCAAGGTATGCAATGATTTATCTATAATTAATATATAATTATAATTAATAATATATAAGTGATAAGTCTATAACTACTAACCCTCAACACCTTCTAACTATACAGCAGAGCGGTTAGTGGTTACCTACATTAATTTATAAGTTCTAGAAAACGGTTTTTTTTTTTTTTTGGTATTAATATTGTAATTATCTCCTCCAATTTATTAGCTCCAGGTGGTGGTAAGATAAGTGAAGCGGCGGCTCACCTAAAATGTTGAAGTAAATAATATACAGTATTAAACGTTAATAGTTAAACTTTAATAATAGAACATTTTTTGATATTAATTTTTAATGTAATTTTTAAACTGCAACAATGCGTATATCGGTTTTTGTAGTTTTTCAGGAGACACAAAAAACAGGTGTAAAACAGCGTAACTCATGTAATTTATATTTCCAACAACGCCTATCTAAAAAATATTACGTATTATAAATGAGATACGTTATGTTCCATACTTCCTTATTGTCACCAATTTTATTATTATTATTTATTATTATGAATAACAGTGTCACAGCTAATCCAACAGAAAATTCCCTTGATGAATAAATGTTGGGAATCAATTATTTTATTAATATTGACAATAATCTCATTTTGTCAAATTTTGAGATACTCACTGTTGCAGTTTAAGCGAGGATTTATGATTTTATTTGAGAAAAAAATTCTTCTTTTTTCTTTGAACCTGATTAGTTGAATGCCCTATTACACCTATAAAGCTAATTTGACCATCAAAGAGTATAATATAGGTATAATATGTAGGTATTAATCTTACTTTCATTTTTCGAGCCCAACACCAAGTCTTTTCTCGCTTCTATCAAGCTCTGTGCCACGTCATGTCTGACTATGCCGTTCTCCTCCCGGTACCTGATGACTTCATTAATCGCCGACTCGTAAAACGCCGAAGCCGCGGGTGAAAACGCAGCGATTCCCAATAGTTTTGCCAATCTCGGTGACGTCGTAGTCAATATCTGATTGAAAACAATCCTGTAATTATTTTGGAATATTTCTTTTCCATACTTACGAAAATCCGAATTTTCGTTCTTGACTGTGTCCAATTTCAAGCCGAAAGCGCACGTCCCGATGACGTCTGTCGAGTACTTGCCCATGGTCTCCTTGACTTCGATCTGATCGTTTTCCTTAATTTTGTTCTTGATGAAACGCATCAGTTCGTCGCTGCACGCCGCTATCTGGTTGTGGGTCAGTTTCAGCTTGCCGGACGAGAACCCTGGGCTCAGTTTCTGTCTCATCGTTTTCCACTTGGGACCGCACAGGAAGAACAGCCCATTCGCTAGTATATTTGTCGACGGGTCCATGCGGAAACCCCGATCGGCGAAGTGCGAAAAATCTTTGATCATTATGCTGTTGATGAGCTCGGGGTCGCGGATCATCAGGAACGGCGTCTTCATCTGATAGAAACCGCAATATCTATGGCCGGCGAACCGTTTGTAAATCCCGTCAAATGTGTTCACCTGGTTTTCGAGCCCCGTCATCATTCTGAACGTGTTGCCGACTAATGGCCACGGCGACACGTGAGCCACTTTCAGTTTACCCCATTTTCCGTACGTGCTGGTCGAATAATAGTAAAGGATCGCCAATACCACGACGGCGACGCCGACAACTGTTGGAGAACCAAACAGATAATCGATGACGTAACTCAAAATCATTATGAAGATGGTATAGGTAATAATATTATTATGTTCGATGCCGAAATCACTGCAACCGCGGTCACGGTCACTGCGTGCACACACCTCGTCGTACAGTTATGGAGTGACTGATCGTCTACAGTTCCTGAGGTAGTCTTGAGACGCATAAATACCTACTGACGTACACTTTTGGGCTTGCTCATGTTGTAATTTTCTGTTAATGTATTATAAAATATAAGTAGTGCCTACGCAAGAAGACTTGAACGCGCAACAGTGGAGGTCAAATGATTTTGTCATGGAGGGGGATAGGCATAGTGTTGATTTTTTAACATAATATGCATTATTTTATCATTCAAAATATAATTTATGGTTATGTCTAATATCAATTTATAAAATTATGGTAAATACAAACTTTATTTATAACCTATACAGACTGAATCTCGGACATTCCCCCCCAACCATTTCCTACCGACTGTTTTCAGTGTAGTAGGACATCCCCCACCACCCGATATATTTTTGATGCCGACATTTTCCTCCCATTTTTTATTTAAAGTTTACTATTTATTAATAATATTTTTATGAAATTATTATTTTTCTATTGTCTAATATTTTCAAATATTTTCATAAATATAATAAATTATAAATGTATATAGCTAGTAATTTTCCTTTTATAGACATAGTAATAGTGAAAATGTAAAATAGGCAAAATAGTCAATATTACAAAAGACACCAACCGTATAATAGTAATACACTTTAGTAGGTACACTACACGGACTCACAATAGAAAACACTAGAACGAAAGAGTAAAGACGAATCAAGGTGATAACTAAATATTATGAGTTATGACTTATGACAAATAATAAGCAATCGATCTTTCAAGTTTTCAACCAACTAATGACCTGTGGCTGGAAGTACGTAATATTGTAAAATATACCTACCATCGCACTATCGCCCGTATGGGCCAATGTTCTGGGAAAGTGTAGAGCTGGTTTGTTATTGAGAATTCTCGATCATCGAGTGGGATAATATTCCCATATTATATTTTGTGTAAGCTACTAAATATTATTATTAATAAAAATAATAATAATATCCTAGTTCCTAGATATGAGTCTAGATAATAATAATGTAGTTATGTCATATAAACACGTATAAACATATTCTGATATTCTGTCGAAATTTACAATAGTTGATGATTTGTTTTTAGAAAAAAAATAGAACAACATTTAATGTATTATAAAGTATACTTAATTATAAATTGTTATAAATATTGAAAAAAAAATTCATGGGGGGATCTATCCCCCCCATAGGCGCACATAGGGGGGTGCTTGCGGGTGCTTAGCACCCCCAATCTTCAAACTAGCACCCTCAATTTATTTCAGTATTTCACCAATCATTTATAAATTATTGTGGGTTATTGGTTAGGAATTTTTCTTTCCATTTCAAATATTGACAACTGTTCACGAATTTAGGATTAAAACAGTATTGTGTGAATGCACGTTTCAGTGTTTCAGTTTTTTTCAAAACCTTAGATAATATAATATATTATTATTAAAAATAATCATATTATATCATATTATTATAGAAAATTGTATTATCTTACGGTTCACGGTAGGCTACGAAATATTCTATTTATAACTTTGGTTATTACTTGATTTTTACTAAAATACATATATACAATGTGTCCCGGGGTGAAGTGAGTGACCGGCCAACGTCATATGAAAGTATATTCAAAATGATGAAGAAATACCCTTTAAAGATCTAGTGGGTCTAACTTTTTTATTTTTTAAGTAATGGGCAATTAACTTTTTTTTTTATCAAAACCAAACCTATCACACATTTTTTATGGATCTTCAAAACTAATTAACATTTCGACGTAATTCTTTTTTTATCTTAAAGCTATTTAAGTGTTCTATCACCTACCAACGTACGCAATTAAACCAGAAATGTGCAAATTATTTTTATTAAATTAAGCCCCCCATGGATCTGTGAACCATACGTCCATACATTATTCCAGCACCCCCTAAATTCACACCCAATGTGCGCCTATGCCCCCCCCCCCGTTTGACCACAACTGAGTCGCGCAACCATAGAAGGGATACGATAAAACATTACAATCTATAATATATTATTTCGATTGTATTCGTTTCGAGGCCAACTTGTTTTTTATCTAAGCTACGAGGTGTGAGAGTTTTTCCTGTAAACTGTGTTTTGACCGATATAATAAACCCTATCAACCCCCCCTAAATAGGTATTGGGTAGTAGATTAGTGGAAAAGTCTTATAATTCAGGTGGAAACTAAAATATAAAATTTAATTTTCAAATTTTATAGAATTGTGGAAAATTTGAAAAATCGCGAGCAGGCCCCTTAACAATGTTTCATTTACCTTAGAGTAACTATTTTTATTTCCTAAAATATTGCATATCCCCTAATAATTAATTCCGGATAGGTAGTCGAAATAAAATTATACGCCATTAACAATTAACATTAACAGCACTTTATTGTATATTGTAATTTTCATAATACATTTATATTGTTATAACTGTTCATGTAGATTGGTAGTAATATAATATAAAGTAGGTACCTACTGAATGTGCTTTGTGACCTTGTCGCAATAAATATATGATTACCTACATTGCTTCGATCGATGATTAAATACATAAATATTGATTTTGAGTTGACCAGAGTTCACCCAGGTACATATTTTTCTAATCGAACGTTACTATAAACATTTTTAAATAATTTACGACACCACGAATCTCGACAGTACCTAATTGGGGGGACGAGATGGCAGAGCGGTCTAACGGGTCGGCTGTGGAGCAGCCGGTTCCGGGTTCGATCCTCGAGCACCGGGCGGCATTTTTCTCCGGCAAGTCACGGTGTCCTGAGAACAAGTGCCGCCATCCCCCACTCCGGGGCATGGCAGAATCCTACGGGTGCCCCAATAGAAATTCTGCCAAAATACACCCACGTGTAACATACCTACAGTTCCAAAAACCTACAGTACCACCCCCTTCCCAATGGCCTAAAGTTCCCTCGGGATAATTAAAAAAAAAAAAGGACCTAATTGAGTACCTACGTTTATTTATCATTAAAAATTGAATTTCGTGCAAAATAATAATAACTAAAATAAAATTTGATAAATTATACAAAACAAGTGTTTACACTATACACATATAAAGTAAATGGCTATATTTTTTCCTTCAAGAAATCGTTTCAGAAGTTGTCTTCATTAAAATGTGAAGTACCTACAGTTATTTATTAATTGCATTATGATATACTTAAAGTATAATAGTTTCATAAAAATTGCGTTATACTTATAATAATACATTCTTGAAATTCTATAATTTATATTAGATTAGGTAAGTATATAGGTAATACACTAATACTCCTGCCACGTCCAATGGCAAGTGCAGTCGAGTCATTGAAGCCTTGATTTTATAATGGAAAAATAATTATTTTAGCCAAATACGCAAAGTATTAAATACTCCATCTCCCCTCCCACCGACCACGGCCCGAGGCCATCGTCTAAAATGTATTTGTGGCTATAAAGATCATCAGCTAGTTTGCTATCAATCAAATTTTCAAGCATGAAAAATTATTTTTAGTATGTAATAATGAGCTCACCTACTATTGGTACTATTTAGTCGTAAATAATCGGTGATGTCATCACTGGAAATGTTTAAGATTTTGTCCTGAGAGGATACTAAAATAGACGACTAATCATATGCATAATATTTTACCAGCCTTCTACATATGTTCTATATAATAATTTAAGAGTCTCTAATTTTCGATGTTTGTATTTTTATTAAGTTTGAAGTACCTACTTCTAATAAATAATAATGCTACATTTTTACAACAAAATTCAGTTTTCACTATTTTTAATATTATAATAAATTTATTCGGCTCCCCTGTAAGTTATAAACCATTATTATACTATGTACCACGGTGAAAATTTGGGATATCGTCATGTATTAATTATCGATTATGGCCCACTGGGATAATTTTTCAAACTAGTAAAAACTAAAAATGACCAAAATGTACGATAACACCATATTATATAGGTAACCAAGTTATTTATGAAATCCAAAAGCAAGTTGTTTTAAAAATGTAAAAAAATAAAATTATAGGTATTACTTTATTACTTGTCAGCTTTTGAAAATATTTGGTCGTTATTTTCTAGATTTTAATTTAAAGAAAATACGAATAACTCAATTGTAACAAACTTTAAAATTATTTAAATATTCACATGTTCATACAGCAATCTAAAAATATCAAAAATACGTTTGCATGACTTTTTTGTATACCTAGGTATCTATACACATGTCGTACATAATATCAAGTTTAAAATGTTTAAAAAAAATCGATACCTGGTGGATACGTGGCGGAGAAGAATCTGCTCAACACTCGGTATATTAACCAAACTTAATTTAAGAGTGCACAAATGTGATTTGGATAAACTCGTTGGATACATTTTGCTTAAATAAATATTTTATAAATTAAGTACCTTCTTATATATTATGGGTATTTTTATATATACGAGTATGCCTAGAATTAAATTACGTAAAGCTAGAACGCTTTGCCATTTGCTCCTTCCGCTCACCAACTAGGGTTAGTACTCCGAGAAATTCTCAAAACTGTTAAAATGAAATTGTATTTAAGTAATTATTTGTTGTTGTTAAAAAGTCACGTCTCTTGATTTATGTATTTTTCATATAAGTATAACTATTAACTATATTAATTAATATACTTAAATAATTTAAAAATTTCGGTATCTTAAAATATTACTATAGTATACAGGACAGTAATTCATCATTAGGTAACAATATATAAAAAGTATCAACTGAATTAATTCTAAAAAATGCACAGTTGCATTGCATCGATAGTGGGAAGTGTCAGAAAAAGTAAAATAAAAGGTTTGAGAGCCGTATAAACCAACAATGATTGATTTTTATTCGTTAAAAAAGTAAACTTGCTCGAAAGTAGAATTCAATTTTGCCACGTATGTGGTAGGGTAATTATAAATTAATTCATTTTCCAGTATCCTTTGGTTGATATATCCATGGTTATTTTTACGACATTCATTTACAAACCAATCATAAAAATAGCGTGCTGAATAAATTGCTGAACAACTATGAGGGTCATTTCTTACCCATTCATAAGCATTTTTTTCTGGATGGAACTGTAACCCAACAAATGGGTAATTTTTAGCTTCTGCTGTGGATATGAATGTTAAATTATTTTCATCTTTATTTATTGTTATGGGATTCCAAAAGTGATCTAACTCCATTGACGTAAAGTTTTCTTTTGTTACACAATGACTGTAAAAAAAAACAATACCAATTCCTGTGAAATACCCTATAAAACTCCTCATAAAATATTCTCAAATAAATAAATTTAAAAAACATTATTAACTTTAATGTTTATTATAATAGTATTAATAATAATCAAGATCTTGTAGAAAATGTTCAGGTCTTTAGAAATCTGTTTTTAAATTTGATTTATTATTTTCATAAGTAATAAAAAGCTATTTAGAAGTTTAGGTTACTATAATTGTAATGCCTAGTTCAGCGTTCTCAACATGTGGTACGTGGAAAGCTTATAGGAGGTACGCTAAGAACAAGAAAATGGAATAGATCGTTCACATTAGAAATTATTTGGTATATTTGATATATTTAATAATAATTTATTTTTATGCATTAAATGCTTATACTATTATCAAAATTTTATAGTTCCCAATAAAATTCAATTCCGTAAACATGTAAAATAAAATTTTTGATAAGCAAAAAAAAAACGTTTTTTGTTAAGTGGTACATCAAAATTTTGAAACTGTGTAGGTGGTACGTGGATATAAAAAGGTTGAGGACCGCTGGCCTAGTTAATACTTAATATAATATACATTTAAAGAAATGTTAAAACCAATCACAATCATAGTACTATATAGTAAGCCTCCTCCCCCCGCTGTTCCAATTATTGGATAGTGACCCTATCGTCTGAGTAATTGTCACTAATAACTATTATTATACTTGTGTCTTGAAAATATTGCTTGTTTAAATGTTAATCCTAATCTAACATAGTAACATCTCTTATTAGTTATTTTTGTATGTACATTGTACATTCACTTACTTTAACGTATTATAATTTATTATTTATAACATAGGTACTTGAAAGTTGAATTGAGCATACTTTACTAGGAATGGGTACGCGAATACTTACTATACATAAATGGTAAATAAAACATAGCCTATACAAGCTATAGGTTATTTTATAGATATTTAATGGTTAAACATACTTATGATGATTTGCTGTGACTGGTTCTGTAAGTAATATGTTTCGAATATCCTTTGGCATTGTTTTGAATAACACACTTTTTTCTTCCATTGTTGGTATTAGTTTTAGTGGTAAATTCACGTTGTTAGAATTACAACGTATTAGAGGATTTTTTCCACCAATGGATGCGATTAAAAGAAGTTCAAATCCTAGACAAATTCCAAGTATTGGAAAATGATCTCCACCATCATTAATCTATAAACAATAATTAATGTAAACAGAATAATCGAGATACTAAAATTTTCATCACAAAACAACAGGCGATCTAAATTTTACAGAAAAATATGTGATAAAAAGGTGTCTGCTGTACAGTAGGTTACAACTGGGTCACTGCATAATGGATGGCATTAAATTTGAATTCAATGAAATAATATCATTGTATAAGAAAAACGATTCTGAGCGGAGACGTTATGTCAGTCAAGGTATGAGACATATTATATACATATCTATGGTATTAAAAAAAAAATTGGCCTATAATAGGAACCTATAATAAATTCCAAATTAATCATATCACAATATCCATTAGGTACTTATAGATAGTAGATATATAGTAGTATACTTTAGAAGTTTCAAGTATCCACGAATAACATTATACAATCACAACAAAATAACTAAAATAGTTATTCTAGGTTTTTTAATATGTAATATCATCCAAATTTGAACTTAAAATGACTATAAAAATAAACTGTGGTTATGTATTTTTAGATTTTTTGGTAACAGATTTAACTACATACGTGGAATCTTGTTTTAAATTTTCAATCCTTGGATATAAAAATTGTACATTTTATACATTTTTAACTACAAAAAAATTTTTCAATTTTCAATTTGATAAATTTTGTCAAAACTCGATCTTTAAATGTTTATAAAAAAAAATTTTACCTATACATTTTTAATATTTTTCAACTGCTATTGTAACAATATATCAGGAATCTTGTATTACAATTTTACACTTTTTGGCCCAACAGATAAAGTTTTATTGACATTCATAGAAAAAAAAAACTAATAAAATTGGAAACTGAAAATGTTTTGAAAATGTTATAGTGTATAGAAAATGTAAGTATAAACAACCAGTGAAAGTTTCATGTATCTACGGTCATTTGTTTTAAAGTTACACCAAAAGCCAAAACGATTTTGTCAAAAACCGATTTTGAGTAAAAATTTTTTCCGGGCGCTTTTGAAAACTGTTAGGAATTTTAAACTTTGACCTCCCAAAAGTACCATCTAGATTCACTTTTCCATCGAACAAGATACCGAAGTTGAAAATCGAAGCATTATTTCGACTACCTACTAATCGTGTACACAGACACAAAAAAAAAAAAATAATAAAACAAAAAAAAACACACGTCATTGTAAAATCGTTCCACTCAAAATCTTAAATATATAATGACTGACTAATCAACGTACTGCCAAAACTACGAAACTGTGATATTTGGAGATTTTAAATTGTCATACTAACCACAATATAGGGGTGAACTAATAAATGATTTTTTAAAAATAGATCCACACAGCTGGTTTGTTTCGGCAAGCAAAAATTGAAATTTTTGGATTTTGCGTTGATTAAATATAATTTAGTCCTTACATAAAAATTAAATCTACTATTTGAACATATCCACTTGATAGGAATGAATAAGGATTTTAATAGTGGGATTTTCACATTTTTTTTTTTATTTATAAGAGGAACACATTATACAGATGGATATATACATTGGCCACATTGTATACAATATACACATTATACATTGGCCCCTGAATTTTGAAATCACTTTATCACCAGAAATCTCAAATTACTTCAATAAAATATCCGCCATACAACGTAACTAGGAATTACCAAAATGTTTGGCCTTTATAAAAAAACCTAAAAAATAAATTGATTTATTAAATTATAAATTAATTACACGTTTGGCAATGTTAAAAACTTCATTTGTAGATTGACTGATTCCGAAACTAATATTAAACGCACATCCTCCTCCTGGGACCAAAATTCCATTTACTTTGTTCACTACATCCCTAAAACATTTTATAATATAGATAATTGTATTTTGAGATATGCCATTGTTACATACGTATAATATTCAGTAGTCCTGTTTGTGAAAACTGGTACAACTCGCCCTCCAGAAGCTTCAATTGCTTTAACATAAGATGCAGCTATATACGACTTATCATGTGGTTTTAAATTGTTTAGATGAGACCAATAAACTTCTTGTGTTAGTATTCCAATCACTGGCCTTTCATTACAAATTGTTAGTTTTGTTACAAAAATCAACATTAAAGTTAGAATAACTGGTAAATACATATTGTTGTATCAATTTTACCAGGACTAAATTGAAATATTATAACGACCGACAAAAATCACTAGCAAATAGTACACACCAAAGTAGATTGAATATGATTCTGTGTGCATTATCAATATGCATTTTGTAATCAATTTAACCTTTGTATAACATCGCGTTATCTAATTGATTGGTTATAAACGGAATCTATTTACATAGTTATTTTAATCTCAGGATGCCGCAGTGTGGGACAAAGGTCTATTATATTTTGATGTTCTCGCACTTATCGCAGTCTGATAGACGATAATTACAAAATATAAGCGATATTAGTACAAATAAAAATTACTTTTGCTATTTGTAATTTGAGTTACTTTACTACCCAACGCTGTTGACAGATCGTCTTCACTTAGAATAAACTGTTTTTCGTATTATTAGTTACCACTTATCACACATCAATGAAAATATATAAATTTACACATAAGAGTAGGTAGGTACATCACAGTGACAGTTACTTACTCTTTAATGACGAGGTATACATACTCGACACCTACTGTACAGCACAGCAGATCGGTTACCTATTTCCCACTCTTTTTTTTTTAGTTTTCCTAATGTACGGTATGTAGGTTAAATTAATATTTGCCAAAAACGTTGAATATATTAATTAACGCTGATATTATAATATTTGTTAGCTGCATACATTAGTTATTCATTTATAATAACTCAATGCTGACATATCATTGAATGGTTTAGAATAAGTTCGTATAATCAAAATTCAAAGCTTAAAATTAGTTTAAATATTTTGAAAATTGTATTTGTAAAGTACACTTAGTTTGCCATAATACTATAATAGTATAAATTAAAATTTTTATTAAATAAAAACATTTCAAAAAAGGTGGGCAAGTGAGTGTCGCTCTGCTGTACAGTAGGTTACAAGTGGCTCACTGTATAATGGATGATATTAAATTTGAATTCAACGATATAATATCATTGTATAAGAAAAACGATTCTGAGCGGAGACGGTATGTCGGTCTATGTATAAGACATATTATATACATATCTATGGTATAAAACAAAAAATTGACCTTTAATAGGTACCCAGTGGCGTGGCGAGCATCTTTCAAACCCTAAGCAAATTAATATTGTAATGACCCACCCACTTCCACCCCCCCCCCCACACCACAGACTATATATAATTTTCTATATGCTAATTTTGAATTTTTGTTATAGGAAGTCATCAAACATTTATTATAAATAATACTTTAATACAGTCGAGTCTTGATAACTCGAATGTCAAGGGACATAAAAATAAATTCGACTTATGTATTTTTCGAGTTACATAACTCGAATTTTTTTAAAAATACGAAAAAATTCGAGTTAGACATTATTTTTTTTTTAAATTTATGCTTTAATTAAAATAAATTTAATTTTAATTTATTTTTTAAAAGAATTTTAAAGAACTTTACTGTTTTTTCCCCTGCACAGTTCTCCAATTGAGTAAACTAACCTCTATATCGGGATACTCACTAATCTTCATTCTTTTCATGGACCCTTTATTAGTTTTGTATTTTTGTAAAATATCGTCTTTATTTTTCAGAATAGTTGAAAGTGTACAGGGTGGAATATTAAATTGCTTGGCAATTTCATTTTTCTGTTCACCACTTTTTGTCACCTCACTTATAATGTTCACTTTTTCAGCAATTGATAATGTAACCAATTTACGTTTAAGAGACATAACTACAAATTGTACACGCTACACAGTTAAGATATACGGCAACTGACGATTATTTTACAGCACAGTTGTACATAGGATAATTTCATTTGTACATTTGTGATTGTAAGCCGGTTATTCTAACGATAAAATGTAAGAAATGACTTCGAGTTATCTATGCTCAACTATTTTTATATTTGACTTATCGCGACAAATATTGCATTGAGTGTATAGGAATTTCCTAGGGATAAAAAAAAAATTCGAGTTATCGAGGTTTTCGAGTTATCGAGGTTCGAGTTATCGAGGTTCGAGTTATCGAGACAGTCTCGACTGTAATTAATTATACATAAAATACTAAAATAGTAATAGTATAATTAAAAAGGTGGGCAAGTGGGGTCACTGGATAATGGATGATATTAAATTTGAATGCAATGATATAATATCATTGTATAAGAAAAACGATTCTGAGCGGAGACGGTATGTCAGTCTAGATTTGCCTAAAAAATAACCCCGGAAAAAATAACCCTGAAAATAAGAACCCCGAAAAAATAACCCCACGAAAAAATAACCACGGAAAAAATAACCCTATAATAAAAATTTATTATTTATTTATTTATTTAATTTTTTATTTATTCGACGTATTGTTCCACATCACGTAGGTTTCGTCAAAATATTGAAATAACTCCTCGGAAGAATAATTAATTTTAAATATTCAACACCTTCTTGTAACCTATTTAGTGGTAAAAAAGCCAAGCCATCTAACATAGGTAGGTACCACAGAATTCATTAAAATCATAATCTTCTTGGTATTTTTTTTTAATCCTAATTCTGCCAATTTTCTGTGAGTACTCTGGCATAGCCGCATAGGTGATAGAAACATCCGTTTATTATTAAATGTTCACATAATACATTTTTTGCTGCATTTATTAATGCCTTTTCGAAGTCTATTTTTATATTTTGTGGATCTGGAAAAAGATTGTTCTTTTCGCAGACTGATGAAATAGCTTTGAATATTATTTCGTAAATAGATTGATTTTTTTTTTCAAGTAAACAGTAAAAAACAGTAAAAAATGCACTATATTTTTCAATTCGTATGATGTAGAGTTCTGATGTGGAGCTATGAATTGTTTTTATCGTGGGTATATAGTATATACAATAATTTATCATTGAATCCAAAGTTAATATTGTACTAGGTATGTTATACATTTTGTATTGATTTGAGATTAATTTGTAAAATCTCTTATTATGGAAATTTGGCCTATGGGGTTATTTTGTCGGTGGTTATTTTTTCACGGGGTTATTTTTTCGTGGTTCTTTTTTTCGGGGTCTAAATTTCCGGGGTTATTTTTTAAGGGGTTATTTTTTCGCGGTACCGTCAGTCTAGGTATAAGACATATTATATACATATCTAAACCAAATTTGACCTATAATAAATTCCAAATTAATCATATTACAATATCCATTAGGTACTTATAACGCGTTATACATCAACAAAAACCGTAATACTATCATAGATATATAATAGTACACTTTAGAAGTTTCAAGTAGGTACCCATGAATAATAATATTATTCAATCACAACAAAATAACTAAAATAGTTATTCTAGGTATTTTAATATGTAATTTCGTCCAAATTTGAATTTAAAATGTCTTTAAAAAATAACTGTGTTCATATATTTTTTTGATTTTTTGGTTAAAGTATGAACTATTTATGAGAACCTTTGTTTTAAATTTGCAATCCTTAGCTATAAAAACTGAACATTTTATAATTTATTAATTCCGATGTTGATAATTTTCGAGATTTTGATAAATTTTGTCAAAATTTGATCTTTAAATGCTTATAAAAAAAAACTGTGCCTATATATTTTTAATATTTTTCAACTGATATTGTATCAATATATCCGGAGCCTTGTATTAAATTTTTACACATTTTGGCCTAACAGATAAAACTTAATTGATATTTATAGAAAAAAAAAACTAAAAAAAATTGAAAGCGGTAAATGTCCGTAAATAGCTCAAAAAGCGTCAAAATATTTTCAAAATTGTATGGTGTATAGGAAATGCTAATTTAAACATTCAGTGAAATTTTCATGTATCTACAGTTATTCGTTTTTGAATTACAACAAAATAAGTAAATCGCTACATGAGATATCCAATGTTGTAAAAATTTGAATTTCAAACGCTCATAAAATTTAATTTGACTTTCTTATGGACATTTTTTTTTTTTTGATAAAGGTAGATAATCTTATAAGAAATCTTATATTACATTTTCAAATCTTAGATTTAAAAAGAAAAATTTTTAGGAATTCTTAACTCAAAATAATTTGCTAATTTTCGTGATTTTTCCATATTTTGTCAATTTTTGAACTTTAAATGCTTATTAAAAGAAACAGTGACTAAGGATTTTTAATATTTTTCATCTGCCTTTGATATAATATACTAGGAGCCTTCTTTTACATTTTCAAGCTTTTTTAACCAACAATAAAATTTTATTGATATTTTTAGAAAAAAAACTAAAAAATGATGGAAAAGGAAAATGTCCCTAAACAGTTCAAAATAAATCAAAATATTTTGAAAATGTTATCGTGTATATAAAATGCAAATATAAACATTCAGTCAAAATGTCATGTACATAAGGTAATTTGTTTAAGAGTAACACCAAAAACCAAAATCGATTTTTTGGACAACCGATTTTGCGTAAAAATTCCCGTTTTTCCTTAATTTTTATGTTGTATTTGCCGGCGCTTGTGAAAATTACTGGGAAATTTTTACTTTTGACCCCCCAAAGTACCTACTAGATTCACTTTTCTATCAGAAAAGCTACTTTTGAAGAAAACCCAATCACTTTTACTGTCCCAAAGCGTGATGACAGACACAAAAAAAAAAAAAAATATAATAAAAAAAAAACACACATCATTGTAAAATCAATACATTCATCGTTTCACTCAGAACCTAAAATACCTATCAATTAACTCTGATGACTTTTGAAGCAGTCTTTTATGCAGTAAACATAAGCTTTGCTTATATGTAAGTGTATTATCAGAAAATAGATTACATAATGCATCAATTATAATTAAAACGCAATACATAAAAAATAATATATATGTTATATACTAATATCATTTTTTATTTACAGTGTCACACTATCACATAAATATAAAATTATTTATTTATTTAAATAAAAGAGCTTTTTCTAGCAGTTGACAAGATTTACCCATTCTATCTAATGCTTCTTCTAAATAAGGTGAAATATCTTTTTCCCAAGATAGAAGCATTAGTGATTCCAATCTATTTTGGCCGATGGTTGTTATTCTT